ACTTTGCACTGTACAGTCGTTGTCTAGATCAATTTTTTGTCTTCTAGAGCCTTGTCTTCTTGTCCTTGTGATTCGCCTCTGTTGTATTCGATGAAGTGCAGAAATGGATGAGTTAAAGAAACTGCTTTCCAGTCGTCTAATCAATAGGAAGCAATTGGAATTGATATGCTTCAAAGGTGTCTTACATTCCTCGCCGATTTCACAGTTCTATGCGCATTTTCTAGGTATTGTTGACGAGACCGGACTGCGACCGCTTTGCTGGAAGGTATGAAAACTGTTGTGCATTTAACGGTGGTGGTAATCTTAAGTGCTAGGTTCTGCTGAACTACTTACCTTTGGACACTTCGACGTGGCCCAGCTTTCTGCAGGCCCAGAGGTATTGCCTTCTGATTCTGTGAGAATGCAAGCAGCGCTTTTCACTTCTATCATATTTTAGAGAAAATTACAAAAATCTCATGTTCGAGCTAATTGTTAAGTGGAGCGAACGACAAGGCGGTATTTCAGATGTGGAAGACCATGTTTGTTACTAACAGTTCTTTCAGTGTCGTTGTTTCATCATTAGTTTAGCCACTTTGCTCAAATCCAGACAGTGCTTGGTGTCAGTACTTTAAGGATAACGAAGTTTTGCTTCAGATCAACAAGGACGTTCGGTACTTACCGCTCTGCTTAGATGTGCATATATAAGCTAATTTCAGGCGTCTCTGTCCGGAAATTTCGTTTTTCCAGCAAGCTACCGAATTTCCATTCAAAGACCCTGTCACTCAGCGTGTGTTGTCTCTCAGTCGTCGGATTTCGAATGAACTACTCAATGCTGAGAATCTCACGCAGAACAGATCAGGAATGAATAACGTACTGCTGGCCTTATTTGGTGTTTGATGGATCTTGATACATTTTTCGGAATTACTGCTGTTCAGTTTTGCTTCTTCGTAGTGTCGTGCAGTGCGAGATCAGTAGCTGAATCACCTTGTACCTTTATGGCTCGTTTTGATTGAGTCTTGTGCGTGTATCAAATTGTGCAGAATTTTGAAAGGGCGGTGAAGACATGGCTATCTTAGAAGGTTGCTATCGGATTGAAAAAAGTAGTTCATAGGAACTGCAGTAATTGTTAGGACTTTTATCGAGCCAGTCTCTTTGATGAATTCTAAACAAGATGTCCGGAAAAGAGATTCCGGGAGGTGGCTGGGCACTTGGTTCAAAATAAGCAGTACGACTCGTGATTGCAAAAACATAGCGAATGAGTTCATCATTTTCTGTAAAATCTTTAAAAATGCGGAGGAAATGCGAAGGGGTTTATGGTTGCTTCGTAGACAGTGAAAAGAGTTGCGACAGATGTTTTAATCAAAGCTGCGGGCAGCGTTGCGAGAAGATGAACTGACTGGTAATCTCCTGCAATTTAGGAAATCCCTGTAGAACTGTTCAAGTGTATTTGTTCGTGTTAATAGCAGGAAGTCAATGTTTTTCGAGGAGCACGTTGGGTTCCGATAAGCGTTTGTTCTGATGTCCCTTCTCCTGATTGTAACTTTTATGAATTAGGTCGGCAAACAGTCTAGGAATGGGCAGCATCCAACTTGGAATGTTCAGCCGAGTCATCTGCTCTTTACAGATTGTTTGTTTGTTCGCGTTCCTTTCTTGCTGTTCATTGGCGTGCGATTGTTTGGGTTGCAGTCACATGCAATGTAGAGGAGAGGTTTGTGAAGATTCTCAGGAAATTTACGAAGCTCGTACCCTCGCAGCGGAAAGAATTATTTTATTAATAAATATGCTATGATATAATATGGATAATGACAACAACAACTGACTGACCTTTCTTCGTATTTAACTGTTATCACCATTGTCTAGTCATGATGCCCACGTTCCCTATCTCGTGCGATTTGTCACCACTAGCTTACATATGGGTCTGTTAGTTCATCGATCCCATTCATAGCCGAGTTCTTCCGTTGGGCGCTTGCCACTCCATGAGAATCAATCCGTCACTGCTGAAGTTCTGCCATCGATCGATCAGTCGTGCGAGCGATGTAGTTTTCCATAGTTTGATTCGAACTGCACGCGGCTTGCCGGGTTTCTTTAACAGAACCTCATACTGCCCTTCTCATTGACCGCATGGGTTCCAAGTGACGGCTTTTTGAGGCTTTACCCTCAGAGGTTTCTTTGTTGAATTCAGGCACAGCCACCTCTTTTCTGACAGTTTCTTCTCGTCACCACGGAGCTATGCCTCGTTTCGCGTAGGATTATGTTATGTCACGACATAAATATTTCCATTAGAAACACTTAGAAAACGTATCGTGAAAGTTCTGCATGCGAGATTGAAGCAACAAATTATTTCTAATTGTATTATGAGAGTTCGTGTACTCAAGATTTTCCTAATTTGGCTACGTCTGTTAGTGTGCGTACTGTTTTTAGCTTTTATTACCTCTGTTTACTGATTAAGTTAGTTCTCCGAAGTCCTGTTATTGGAAACACCTTTGCAACTTTTAATACTAATTCACTCGTTTTCGTAGCCAGCTATTCTTTTCGGGTTGCGGGCATAACAGCTTCAGAATATGTTGCTTGCTCCATTGCTCCCGATTTTTCCCCAGTTCGTGTTCACAATTGCAGACGGTAGCGATATAGTCAAACTATCTTGTCCCTGATGTGACCGTCTTCCCTATGAATTTATTAAGAGGAAGTTCCATTCTTTCCTGTGGTATCATCTTCACGTGTTTGAACCATCACAGTTGTGATTTCTCTAACAGAAGAAGGAGCGACTCACAATCGCTCATAAAACGAACTGCATTGTTCCAACCTCTGTCGAATCTCATCAAAATAGCAGTCCATCTAAGAAACCATATTTCTGGCGGTTATATCTGGAGTCACACTTCCGGAATCTTTCGGCCAATGTCAAAAACGCATTGCCATAGTTCAGAGTAGGCGCATGGGCAGACTTGAAGGCATATAGTTCAGCGTTCTGTTCACTAACGCCATCACCACAGACCGATTTAGTTTCCGCATTACAGCCTTTCGCATGATTCGTACATTTTTATGTTATGTTTGCTATCTCTCTTGAATTCTGCTCCCAGATACTGCAACTTTTTTTTCCCTTCAAGTTGCACTTCACTTGATTGCATGCCACATTGAATGACCTTTGTCGAGAATTCAGAAGATTTAGTTTTGATCACACGGAGTTTCTTCGCTGCCTCATATGTAACAGCAAGCCGACCAAATATGTTGAGGGCATTATGAGATTCAGCAGACATGATGATCATACGCGAACAGCAGATGACTTAGTCAAACATCCTCGGATGTAATGTTTTCCTTTTTCAGACTCCGTATGTTGATCCTGGAAAGACGTCCACTTCTTGCCATTAGTTTGAGCTCTAACCTTTGCGCAGTAATGTATGGAACGGACATGGCTGCCCGTTGCACGCCATCAACTCCGTACTCCTGTATTCTTCCCAGTGCCTCGGTTTGGGTACCATGTTTCCAGCCTTCTTTCAAGGTTAAGGTTTTTTCAGGAAAGAAGCATTGATCTCTTTTGACCCGCATTTTTAGATCTGGCAAACGACAAAGATCTGATTCAAGGTGGTGCGGCATTCATAAGCGCCATATTACTCCTGTTCAAATGCGCTTCATGAGTCGCCAGGATTTGCAGAAACTGAATTAAGGAAGTCTTTCCGTATTTTGAAAGGCTTTCATCTAGAGTCTTCACAGCTCTATCAGCAGTTGATCTTCATCAACACGATTGGCAATATCTGCCAGTAAATTTTGTTTGCCGTCGGTATTAGAGTTCAATTTTTATCTGAACGATTGACATGTCTTTGCTTTATTTTGTTTCTGCAGCTTTCACTCTCTGCATTTCAAGTTAGCGTGTGGAATACGTTATAGAGAGTATGATATGTTTGTAATCTAGTCACAACAATGCCTTATTTACACTGGTAACATAAAGAGTTCTTTTCTCACTGCCATTTTTAACGTACACTTGATTTGGCTAAGGCACTTCTAAAGCACCCCTACTTCGCTGTCTGATGTTTTACAGCCTGTCTGGTTGAACCTTGCTGGCACGTCTGTCGCGAACTCTTGTCAACCTTTATTTTCTGTTTCTTCAAGCTTTACATTATATGCAAATTTTTAACTACCGATCTTATAGATAACCATTAATTTTGAACTTACAGTTCAATGTGAATTTGGTTTTTGTACAATCTGCACAACTTTTCGTTCAAACGTCTAGCATCACGGATAGAGGTACGTTGAAACCGTGACCATAATATTAATGCTACACTAGTACTTAAAGTTTCATCTTAAACTCGTATCGGTATGACAGTAATCGTAGCGGCAGGATAGAATTCATTTTGTCGTACCTCATCCTCATGTGCAGTTTCTTGCTTTGGTCATGGGCAGGTCTCGCTGACTTGGACACGGAGATTTATTTTTGGTGTGTTCTCTTGCGTTTTGAAACTAAAATTTGCCGCAACAATAAATGAATAGGATGTTATAGAATTGACGTGATGTTTTTTAGAAGGTGCTGCTTGCTTTTTTATGACCACACTGCATGTTCATAGTAAACTTATGATTGAACTTTCTTAGCTAGTGAAGACTTCACGGAAATATGCTGAAGAAGAATATAAAGAACTTTGGGATGGCCAAGAAGCTCATTGGCAGGTCGTTGAACGCATTTTATTTGTGTACTGCAAATTGAACCCTGGCGTTCAGTATGTTCAGGTGGGCGTTTATTTTGATGCCTGTCGTCTTTGTCGTTAAATCAACGGTTTTAGGGAATGAATGAAATTCTTGGACCCATTTACTACGTGTTTGCATCTGACCCGAATGTTTTGTGGCGAGGTATTGAGTCAATTCGTTATAACGGTTACCTTAAAACGCTGATGTAGTAGCCTCTTGAAGACACTCATAGCTGGTGTTAATATAAGCGTATTCCATTATTCCTTATGAAATTGAACATTTGCTCCCTTGATAGTGTTGTTTTGGCGTTGGCTTTTAGTGTACTATTGAATAGCGATTCCAGTTTCTTAGGATGCTGTTTGTAGCGACTTCAAAGTTGTATTTAATTCAGCATGTCGTCCAACGATGTGAGTAATCTTTAAACATTATTGAGTACATGAATTGATACTATCCACTCCCATAAAAGCACGTATGTAGAAACATCATATGCTATTAAAGTCGAACGCGGTCTATATGAGTGGGTCCCTGCTGATCATTTCATGTTGATGTATCTTCGCTTGTACTTTGCAGCGTTTTTCTGAGCTTTATCCTCTTGATGGTGTTGACCTCAGCAAACCGAATTATATAGTCCATATATTTCTAACAGACCCACATGAGGTGCACGAGAAAGGGCCTGACCATATGATTCCATTTGTATTTGATAATGTAGCGAATGGCAATATTTGTGTTAACACGAAAGTTAAAAGCTACGAGGAACTCATCTTACACAACAGAGCCACATATGCAACACGGAACTGAATTAGTAGAGATCGTCTTCCAGATCATGCAACTGGTTTCTGTCAGCAACGATACCCGTCAGTTACAGTTAATTTAAGGAAACGTTCTTACTTTCAGCTCTTTTAGAAGATTGTTCAGTATTTAAACGGCAGACGATTATATATCCCATACGTCAAAAGCCAGTTTGTGTATTGCCTAGTTAGGTCAGCGTTGTTTTTAGAACAATCACTCTCTCAAAGAAAACGAGCTTGGCTCTCGTTTAAACGATGGCTAGAATAGGAAAATACGGTCGCTGAGTGGCTTTTCAACTTATCAGCATTTTCATTGCCCAAGATTAGCTGCTCGAACATGTGATTTAGGCACTGTTGCATGTCATTATTCTATTTTGGTGCTATTTTTTGTTTTATTTTGGCATACCTGTTGGGTAAGGACTCTCCTGAATGCAGGAGATATTGTTCTCTTGTTCTTGTTACATAACACAGAACTGTATTCTTAACAAAGTACTGAGAAAGATGCACGTTTCAACGTAATGAACTTTAAATGTCAGGATCTTATAAACAATAGCTCTGGTATGTTCTGGGTATAGGCATTTTGCTAAAGCTAAAGTTGGTCCCGTTTATCAAACATTGAGCATGAACCCTTAATTTTGATCCGAGAGCCTTTCATGTAACAATCGAACCCTGGCAGTCGTCAACTAGGAAGCCTGAGGCAGGATGGATGAACAAAATTCAAAAACAAAATATGCTTGTCGATCATTGTTTTTTGACAGTGTTGTAACCGTTGTCCTATAAGAAATTGTTATAAGCTTTAAATCAACGGGTATCTGGACCTGAAGCCGTTTCGGCAGTTGAAACGGTTCCAAGTGATGATCACAGTAAATAACCCTGTTGTACTGCACGTACAACGAGCAAATTGTTTATTGAAGGCGGCCTAGCAGAAGGTTTATGCAGATGGTATTTCGGAGTCTCTCGCAATCCTTCTTAAGAGCGCTATCGACTTGCAGCTATCTGTCCACGGCGTCTGTATTCAGACCATTTAGATGACCCGTTTGATTGCTGTTTGTTTGCATACTTTATTCGTGTAAACCATTTCTGTTTTAAACAGAATTTGCTGAGGCCGATTCGTATTACTGTTTCCAGTATCTTATGTCAGAAATAAAAGACAACTTTATTCGGACAATGGATTCATCGAAATTCGGCATTGGTAAGTTGATTTAAACCTTGTTTAAACTTCTTGCTCTATGAACATGCTTTGTTACCTACGGCGTGTTCACATCTGCCGCTCAGTGCGTTTTCCAAAAGCTTTCATGCTTAAACATGTTACCGTTGTTTTGATTGAAATTAGGTAGCACCCAGGATTCATGCCTGATGTATATCAAACATACCCGTTTAACTAATCACTTGTTATCACATGATCTTTATCATTATCGCTCGGGTAGACGTAGACCTGAAGGCGCGAATTTGGGTAATGCTTTTATTCTAGTTTTCTTAAATCTCGGCTATCTAGGTGGAAGAAAAGTTATTTTCTCATCATTTCTTGACTTCGTCTGTCTGCTCCATCCTTGTTTGTGCCTTGCCCATGAGGATCACCTGTTCAGTCGTTAGACAGCCCGACAAAAGCGTTTCATCATTCATTCTTTAAGAATTAGTACAGGCAGTGGTTCTTCGTACGAATATAGGTCTATAATCCGAAGAGAATGTCTTTCCCCTAAATAGCACTGCCTTAAAATGCGAAGCACATCTGTCAGCTTTGGTTACTACAGCCTCGTTCTTCCATTTTATTGGGTTTCAGGCAGAGTTTCATGACTGCCGAATTAGTACTTAGTCCATCATACTTCGTCTCGTTACGCCAATGGCGTATTCTGACTGCTGCCGGGTTTCGGTAGCCTTGGTGTATCTAGATTGACAATGAAAAGTACTAGCTGCTATAATCGTGTATAAGTCTTCTTTACACAACTTTTCATGGTTTTATGTTTTTCACCTCTTAGACTGATCCCCATTTCACCTCTTGATTCATTTTACTTAAAGTTCCTAAGAGCAAAAAATTGAATTCCCATTTAGTTATTCCTGATCCTCTGTTTTAGTCAGAAAAAATGAGGCATTTTGCGTTTGCATTTGTCTTAGAGGTTTCTACGCTGCGGTCGAGAAAGTTAGTTTTTTGTACGCTTTATTGGAAGGTCTTTGATAAAAACCTCGCGCGTTCTCTTAAGAATTTATATCACCTCAGAGACTGTACACTTCTGCCGCACCAGAAAAATTTTACCTCATTGACTTGTTCCTTCTTGAATCAGCGGTAAATTTTGTCTGTGGGTTATTGAATGCTAAATACGTGGGAGCGCCGAACTCTCAGAGCGAAAGGTTACGAGTCAAGCCCTGTGAAGATAGTTCGTCATTCTCCATTCCAGTGATTCCAGTGTAGATGCATGAGTTGCATTATGAATGAATTACCTGGTTCCGCTGTAATGGCTACCTGGTCTTAGCTGCTGCCCTTAAAATAAGTCATTTCTTATAGATACAACTTAAATTGATGCCAATGCGTCACAGAATGGACAGTAAGAAAATTAATATTCCAGCATCTGAGTGATTACAAACCTTCCTTTCCTTTTTCTCTTATCAAGTTAGTTTTTCAGTTGCGCATTAGAGCGACAGGTGCGAAATCGTCCGACTTAACTGTTTGTTTTATGGTCCTTTTCTTGCTCATTTCGTTAGTTGCGTCATTGTTCGTTGAGATGCTAAGACACTATCTGAAATCTCAGTTAAACTTAACACCCTCTGGTAGTTTTCTGCGAAATTTCTTTACGATCGAAAAGTGATTAACTAACTCTTCGTAGAATTCCAAATGCGGTGCCTGTTTGGCCTGCTTAAAGATACAGACCTTACGCTGTATACTCATATTGCTGAAAAACAGGAAATACGACCGGAGTATTTTGCATTTCGTTGGCTATCGCTTCTTTTGTCGCAGGAATTCCTGCTTCCAGGTATGTGTGTTGCTGCTAAGCGACACAGTGTACAATAGTTTTTTTGTAGATGTTATCAGAATTTGGGATTCTCTGTTCGCGGACGAAAATCGTTTCCAGTTTTTGTTATACGTTTGTTTAGCGATGATGATGTAGGTCTATGATTGCAGTTTTAAAGGTTTTTGTGTCCAAACGCTAATCTCGGTCTTTAGACATGTTCGCGATGCTTTAATGAACAACGACTTCAGTTCTAACATACGACTTTTGCAGGTGATGCCTTGTCTTTTGCTTTTTGGTTCATAAATGTTCACCCGTGATATCGTTTACTTTATTCAAAAAGCCCGAAGTGAATTTTTTGATTACTGATCAGATGTTTACAATTTGATCTGTTGCTATAAATGCGGTGTGTCATGACTATCACTTAATCAGTGCTATGACTGTGTTCGATGGCATTAAACGTAAAAAACATATTCACAGTACCCTTTACAATCCAGTCTCCCAGCAGAGTCGTGTCGTTCAAAAAGCAGGACTTATGGTGAGAAAGTTTTGCCATAGTTCTTCAGGGATGAATCCTGACAATCCCATACTTTTGTAGTTAGTTGCCCGCTTTCGGAGCAATAGCACCATAAATGAATTATTACTGGGCTTAATTGCACAGAGTTAGTTTTATATTACATTAAAATATAACTACGACGTTCCGGGTCCTTTCGATACCACTGCTGAAGATATCACATTAAAAATAGATAATGAATTGAAACAGCGAAATTATATTTTGTCATATGTTCTCATACGGATCGTGGCAGTCTTCGTTGAATATCTTTTTATTCCACTCTGGTTTGAGACGTGGTCCTGCTTCCTATGCACTACAGGCGCTTAAATACCATGGAGCCGTGGCCTGCTTGAATTCTCTCCTCTCCCCCAGGCGTCTAGAAGCAACGAAGAGGCAATAGTGCTGCTGGTCTAAAGTGAGAAGTAGATTTTTCTTTCTTTACACTGCATTTTCGCCGTTTTCAGTCTATTATAATTTTTTCATGTAATTTCTTCAGAGGTGGTATTGAGAGGTCCCTCAGAACTACTGTTAATATGTTTTACACGCGGTACTGTAACTGCTGGGCGTTTGCTATTTATGTAACTGTGACAATTCACGCTTAACTGTTTTATAATGTGTGAATTGTGATGAAACTTAGATTGTGACAGTTATAACGTCAGTTATTGATAGTGTTCATTGGGAAATGAGTTACGGTGATGGAAGGAAAGCCTCTGGATCTTTCTGTATCATAAGAGAGAGGTGGCAGAAACAAATAATTTATGAACCCCCTGCCAAGGTGTCTAGCCTTTGCCATCAGAAGCCACGTCGTCGAGCAAATCAAAGGCAATCCCTTGTTGCAGTCAGTCAGTTTCGATACTTTCTTATCCTTTAGGGTCGCGAAAGCAGCAGTTCCCAACAGTCTCCAACATTTCTGATCTCCAAC